ACATTGTAATGAAATGTTACAATACAATGTCCCCCATCTGCACAACTGAAATTTAAAACTGGTTAGTGTCTACTGCTAGTTATCAAAGCATTAAAAAAAAAAAACTAAAATCTAATCTGATAAATAACACGTTGGGGATTAAAATAATAGCAGATTTGTCTAAATTTAAATGAAAATTTTACTTAAGCCAGAATTAAAATTATACTATGGTCAAATAAATGTTCAGCGATATCTTCAAAAGATTTTTGAATTTTGCCGCACTTTTTTTTCTCTATATAATGTTGATATGGTAACTTATAAATACTGTAAATATTGTTATGCTAACGTCTGGAAATATTCAAACCACGTGTGTTACAACTAACCCGCTCTCCCCTATGTCTATTTTAAATAATATGGTAATAAAATATATGACAGCATAGTAACATGTTACTGAAGCAAATCATACATTTAATCAAGTATTCATCATTTATTTAAGTTTATTGAACTTATAAAACACATTTTAAATGAAAATGTTAGTTTTTCACTAACTACGCATAAACGTTATTTTCGCAAACATGTACATTCACACTGCTCACATATTATTATAGCTCAGCTCGTGTTGAATACAGTATAATCAGACTTTATCCATTAATATTTATTTATTTATTTAGTCATTTAGAAGACGCTTTTATCCAAAGCAACTTACAAATGAGGAAAATAAAAGCAGTCAAAACGAACAAAAGAGCAACAATATATAAGTGCAAATGACAAGTCTCGGTTAGCCTAACACAGTACACTTAGCAAGGTGTATATATACATATTATATACACACACACTCACACACATACACACACACACAAAGAAAAACAAGTAGATAGAATAGAAAAAAATAGAAAGCTAGTGTTTTTTTTTTTGTTTTGTTTTTTATAAAAATAAAAAAGAAGATAAAGTAGAATTAAAATAGAATAGAAAGTGTTAGAGTTGAGTGTCATCAGCATAGCAGTGATATGAAAAGCCATGTTTCTGAATGACAGAACCTAGTGATGCCATGTAGACAGAGAAGAGAAGTGGTCCAAGTACTGAGCCCTGAGGCACCCCAGTAGCTAGATGTTGCGACTTGGACACCTCACCTCTCCGAGATACCTTGAAGGACCTATCTGAGAGGTAAGACTCAAACCACTGGCACAATTAATATATTTAGACTTAAAAAATGTATATATTTTTAAGACACTGAAAAACACAAATGTCAAAACGTATCCAGTGATTATATATAACATGCTGTATAATATAAACATTTAATAGTTTTAGGTCGCAATAAATATGAAAAATTATACCTTTTTTTTAAGAGTGCTAAGATGTTCAAATATGAATGAAATTTCCCCCAAAAATAAATAAACAAAACAAAAAGTTTAAGTTGAAATATAAATATAGGGTAAACTTACCTATTAAGCTCACGTACCCATTAAGCACACTTCCATATTCGAGCTCAGATTATAAAAAGAAAAATAATGTATTATCATACTTGATGTCTTAACCAATTGCTGTGTTTGTTACTACATACTTCCTGTAATTTCAAATCAATCAGATCATTGCACACTGAGATACGAGTATCCTTTTTGAAAGCTGTCTGAAAACTTTCACCAAAAGAGCACCCCCACCTTAAGGGTGCATTTTTTTAGATATTTAAGCCTTTATTTAGGGTAAATTTCACTACTTATTGTAAAATTAAGAGATTAATGTTTAGGCTTTTGCATATTATAACCTGGATCTTGGATGTGGGAAATAATTACAGTTAGATCCAAAAGTTTTAGCAACACAGCGCAGATGCTACAGAATACAGTTAGCTGTGTTAGATTAAGACACAGTGGACTGTTTATAGTGAACTTGTACACTTGTAGCAATTGAAATATTTCCCCGATAAATATGTTTACCCATCAGATCAACATTAAATGTACTATGTAGAGAGTGTCACACAAAACAGCTGAGGAAGACCTGCGTAGAAATGAAAATTAGGTTATTTCAACTTCAACTCTTTCAATCCTAAAACATTTGTGTTGAAATCCAGATCAAATGAACCTGTTTTTCTAATTTGGAAAGAATTTTTCTAAATTAGTTGGCCTGTGGATTAACTTTGTTTGAGAAACTTAAAATTCTTATTAAAAAAAAAAAAAAAATGTTAAAAAAATAATAATAATTGGTTTCTAGCAACAACTTGTAAAAGCTGCTTTTAGGCAACATTAAATATATGAACTTATTTTATATGAAGGTAGAATGACGTCAAAAAGATTTGCATATGCAGGGTATAATATTTATGGAAGTGTAAATAAGACTGCAAGCGTAAATTAAATTTGCATGTGCAAGAGAAGCTTTGTAAAGGTGTAAATCGTGTTTCAAGCGCAAGAAAAAATTATTTGCAGCATTTTACTGTTATTCGTAAGTGTAATGCATGTATTGTGAAACTGCAGCTTCATGCTAACGCAAAATAAATATGATCTGCATGCTTCTAACTTTCATTTTTCCGCACTTACACTTTTGCCATGTTTTTTCCGCCAAAAGACGGTCAAAAGCTCTGCATGCCATTTGTGATTTGCAAAGAGTGATTTGCCAGCGAAAACAACAGTTTAAAGAACTGCAAAACGGATTGACTGCATAGAACCAATCTGTATGTGTAAAAACACTAACTGTTGCAGATGTCTAAATGACTTGTTGTGCATGTGGGGCTGTATGTACAGCTCCGTCTTTCTTTTCTCTGTGCTTACAACTTCCAAGAGGTCCTGGCTGCAGCCTGTAGTACGATGACGTAGCTGGATCAGATCCAATACGTATTGGATGTTTGACGAGCATGCGCAGTTGTAACAGATCGGCCAGGCTCCGCCACCACCCAATCACAACGATCCCTCTCACCTGAGTTCTGAGCACCTGCACCTGTCACCAATCAAGCACCTCATTACCAGCCTGCATAAAAGCACACACCTCAGACACCTTCACTGTCCGGTCTCGTATACACGTAGAGGACTCAATGACTTTGCTACTGATTACCTTGGAATACTTCTTGCGTTACTTACCTCCTGTGTTCCTCCTAGTGTCTCCTCGTCTCCTGTATCTCCTAGTTCCCGGATCCCTTCCAGCCTCAATCAAGCAAAAGACTCGGATTACTCCACTCTCCATATCCTCTGCACTCTC